TGTACCAGTGCTCCTGTGTTCCTGCAGTCCGGTGATGCAGCTGGGAGCCGTGTGGTGCTGGAGTTGTGCCTGGACAGTGCTGGGAAATGGCTGGGGGTGAGGTGAGGTGGGCTGGGGCTGGGCTGGGCTGCTTGCTCCTGTTGAGGCTCCCCCTGGGTCCTACTGCCCCTGGCTCCTGTCATCTTTGACAGGCAGCTAGGAGCAAATAACTATTAATTTTCTAAATTTTTTAGGGGCCCCACAGGCTGGATAGAATGGCCTGGTGAGCTGGATGCAGCCTGTGGGCCATATTTTGCCCATCCCTGCTCTAAACCCACATTAGTAATATGTTTAAATGTAAGCACTTCAAGTGAAGTAAATGCAGAAGTCTTAAATCTGTAACTAACTTACTGAAGTGGCTTTGCCAGCATCTTTGAAAGAGCCCTGTCATCCAAGGACACAGCATCCTTTTTTTTCTTTAGCTGATCATAGCCATTGAGATGATACAGCTGATTGATCAAAACTTGCAGTGAAAAAGAAGCTATGTAGCCCTTTATGCAATCTTCTTCTTTTTTGACAATCCCTCGCGGTTGAGGATGATTGCCTTATCTGTGCGTCCGAAGATGGCTGACTAGGCTGATCTGGGACTGACAGACTCTGTTGCAACTCAGACACGTCTCCATGTGGGATGAGTGGATCTGGATTCTTGATTTGGTCCGTGACGTGCTGTTTCTGCTGGTCCTGCTTTTCCACCTTGTATTGTCATAAGGCATCAGAGTATGGAGATCCTTGTAGCAGACTCCTCCTCCATTTGAGACAGTCCTGGGCAATAGTCTTCCACGAGTTGATGTAAATGTTGCATTCTTTTCAAGTTGGCCTTGAGGACGTCCTTGAAGCACTTTCTCTGGCCTCCTCTTGAGGATATGCCTTCATTGAGCTGAAAGAATAAGGCTTTGGAGGTCTGGAGTCAGACATCTGAATGATGTGGCCAGCCCAGCAAAGTTAATTTTGGATGATCATTGCTTCAGTGCTTGTGGTGTTCACTTGTGAGAGAAAGCTAATGTTGATGTGTCTGTCTTCCACTGGATTTGAAGGATCTTCCACAGGCAAAGTTGATGGAACTTCTCCAGTGACTTGAGGTGTCTCCTGTACATTGTCCACATCTCAGCCATGTACAGTAAGGTGGGGATCACAACTGTTTCATAAACCATGAGCTTGCTTTCAGATCTGATCTTGCTGACTTTGAACACCCGTTTCCTCAGGTGTCCTTTATACAAGTAGACAAGGTTCTTTAGCCTTTTATATTTTATAGAAGTCGCTGCATTGCTGCACCTCTCACTGTCTTGTCACTGGGATGAATGGTTGTTAACCTGAATGAATTGAGATTTGCTTACAAATGTACCAGCTTTGGGTGGGGTGGGTGGAGGGTGTTAGCACATTTTATCTTCTGTACTTCACAGGTCCGTAAGCACCTCTGTAGGATTCCAGGACAAAAGGATATTTGTTTACATGCATACAGGTTTTTTCCTCTGGTTACTGTTTTGATATCTATGTTTAATCACTTGTCAGACTATCCGTCTGCCTTGGTTTAATTATCCTCTAGATTGTGGCAGACCAGGTTTTTTGCATAGATGTCGTATCTTTTATTACACCAACTAAATAGTTGGAAAATTGTTCTTTGCAAGCTTTTGGGCACAAACACCTTTCTTCAGGCATAGCGAGAGTCTGCTGGTAAATTATGATATACAAAATGTAGGTCTGTGAAAATGCACATGCTTGATCGGCAGTGAGGATCAGAGAGGTGGGTGTGAGGAGTGGAGGGAATGTTGAACTGGTGATAGAATATAGCTGGTAAAATGCAGGTCAGTTACCTGGGGTTAGCAGATAGCAGGCAGATTATAATGTGCCGTAGATCTAATGTCTATATTTGGTCTATGATTTTTTTTTTTTTTGTATCCAGTAGATTTATGAAGTGAAGTTCATAGGCTTGTCTGTGAAAGGTGTTTTGTAAATTCATTTTGAGGATTAGAACCGAGTGATTGGAAGAGAGTGGTTATCTTGTGAGAAGTGTGCACCCACAGGTGATTGGGTATTTTTGTCTCTGATAGATTTTTTCAGCGGGCGTTCAACTGTACACTGGAATGTTTGGTTTCTCCTATATATTTTCCATCAGGGCATTTAGTGCACTGGAGGAGAGAGATTACATTTCTGAAGGTGCAGGTATAAGATCCAGGAATTGTGATGTTTCTGATGTGGGATGTAGTTATTGTGGGGGTGGTGAAGATGTGTTGGCAGGTTTTACCTCCTTTGTCCCGGCATGGTCTAAATCCATTCGGTGTGCTTTGAGCCATAGGAGGTTTGCTTCTGATGAGGTTGGTGAGGTTCAGTGCTTGTTTAGAGTCTAGATGGGTATCTAAAGATACCTTTAAGAATTGGGCCTTCTTCTAGTATGGATTGCAGTTGTTTGAGGATTTTCCATATAGGTTCCAGTGAAGGACAGTATGTCATAACTAATGGTGTGCAATTAGTGGGGACCGATTCATTCAATCTGCAATCTCTGATTTCTATCACAGATTCAAAGACCATCACTCCTTCATCGGACTGTCTCTTGAATACAACAGCATTAACACTTCCTTTTTAGGCACTATGATCAATATCCAGAATGGTAAAATACAAATCACTAGGGCTGTGCGAAACAGTACCATTTTGTTTCGACTTCCATTTTCACAGGACAGTGTTTAATTTAGTTGTTTCAGTGATGTTTTGATGTTTTGCCCATAGGCTGTAATGGGGAAGCACAAAACTGCCTATAACTTTGTCTTTTCTTGCCTGATTCAGATGAAACTTGCAGGCATGCTGGCCTTTGCTGAGGCCACGAAGTCTGCTAACTTTCAAGGAGATGGGTGCAGGAGTTTCTGGAAAATTGCACCTCAAAGTCTTGAAAGCAAAACTCGTGTAACGTGTGTGTGTGTGTGTGTGTGTGTATTAAGACACAGCATGGTGAAAACTGCAGGCATGTTAGCCCCTGCTGAGGCCATATAACCTGCCAGCTTTCAAGGAGATGGGTGCAGGGGTTTCTGGGAAACTGCACCTCAAACTGTTCAGAGCAAAACTTGTGTCACTTGTAAGTGTGAAGGCACAGAGAAAGCTCAGTTCAAACAATCCTTCTTTTGCTGTTTTTTCCTCCCTCCCCCAGTGCACTGGGA